GTTTTGTTTTGTTTTTTAATATATTTTATTGATTTTTTACAGAGAGGAAGAGAAAGGGATAGATAGTTAGAAACATCAATGAGAGAGAATCCTCCATCAGCTGCCTCTTGCACACCCCCTACTGGGGATGTGCCCGCAACCAAGGTACATGCCCTTGACCGGAATCGAACCCGGGACCCTTCAGTCTGCAGGCCGACGCTCTATCCACTGAGCCAAACCGGTTCGGCGGAAACAACGTTCTTGTGGTGAAGAGCAGAGAAGCTACGGAGCAAGGGTTGGTCATGTGTCTGTTCAGTGTGTGTGTACGTGTGTGTGTGTGTGTGTGTGTGTGTGTGTGTAAGAAAGAGTGAGTGTGAGAGACTGTGAGACTAGGTAATAGAGGGAGAGTTTGTGTATAAGAGAACAAGGGGGTGAGGGCATGTGCGTGTCAGTGTGTCAGAGAGGGAGAGTGGGTGTGTGGGAAAGACACGGTGAGCCTGTGTGAAAGGACGTGTGTAGTAAGAGAGAGCTACGGGTGAATGTGTGTGTAACAGAGTGAGAGTGTGTGTTCCCTCAGTGTCCCCAGGTGCCCAATGTCACCTGTACCGGACAGAATAAGAAACACCTCTCCCCCCCACCATACCCCAGAAAAAAATAAAAGCATCTCTCCCCTCCCCCAGTCCTTCACCTAAACGGAGAGCAGTGCGGGCTGAGTCAGCAGGTGTGCCTGTGGCCGGAAGGCTGAATTCTGCGCCCGGGTCCTTGCTCCGGCAGCAGCGGCCGCCTCTCAGACAGCCGTGCGGTTCTGGAGGTCACTGGGCTGGAGCTTCACGGGCTCCCGTGGTGCAATCGTTCCCACAACCATTCACACCATTTGAGTCTCGGTTTCCCTGCCCACGTAGCAGAGGATTTGTGTGTTTTCCACAGCCCGTTCCAGCTCTCACAGCTGCCCCGCCCCTGATTCCATGCTGGTGACATCACCGCTGCAGAAGCGGGTGCTGTCTCACCTGGCGTCCGTTTCCTGCACTTTGCCGAGACACTTCCGGCCTGCAGGATAGGGCCAGCTGGTGGAGCCAGGGCCTGGAGAGAGGACCTGTCCAACCTGAGCTAGGTGCCTCGTGACAGAATCCACCGCCTGCCCCTGGGTGCTGCCTTCCCGTGGGCAAGGAGCCACGCATGGAACCCAGACGTTCCGCCTCAGCCTGGGTTTGGCCTCCCCTTGCTTTGCCTGGCAGGTCCCAGAGCTGCTCCTGAGGGGCAGGGCCAGCACAGGAGGACCTGGGGACACTGGCTTCAGCCCCTGGACCTCTGGGAGCTGCTGATGCGGAAGGGAGTGCATGGTGTCCGCGTCCGGAGGCCTGGGACCCAGCCCTGGGTGGCCCGGGCCTGTCCTGCCTGAGCTCCAGGTCTGCTCTCATAGGAAGGCCTCTGTGGTGGAGACCTGGGAGCGCAAAGGTCCGGAGGGTGAGAAAAGCATGGTGATCCCCATGAGCTCCTCACAAAGGCCCTGACCCTGCGCCACCTCGGTGTCCCCGGTGCACAGCCCCGGCCTCGCTCAGAGTACACGCGCCCTTGAGTGAAGGATCCGTCAGCTCTCTCTGCTACAAGTCTGAGAGGCTTGACGCTAGAGCAGAACTCCTCCCTTAGGCCCTGGGGTCGCCCCCGACTCTGGCTGAGCCCCAGCTTTCTCTTCTGCGAAACGGGGACAGTGCCGATCCCACAGGGCTGCGGTGAGGAGAGCGATGCTATGAGCCAGGCTCCCAGCACAGAGCCTGGCGTGTGGTGCCCCTTTAGGAGTAAGGAACATTCGTCATGTCACTGCTCTTGGCTTGTTTCACATGCCCCTCCCGCCCCCCCCTTCCCCCCGCCCCTCTCTGGGTCTCCAGTGCACTGCCAGGAGAGTTCTGTGGGGATTTAAAAGATCTGACCTGCTGCCGAAACCGGTTTGGCTCAGCGGTAGAGTGTCAGTCTGCGGACTGAAAGGTCCCAGGTTCGATTCCGGTCGGGGGCATGTACCTTGGTTGCGGGCACATCCCCAGTACGGGGTGTGCAAGAGGCAGCTGGTCGATGTTTCTCTCTCATCGACGTTTCTAGCTCTCTATCTCTCTCCCTTCCTCTCTGTAAAAAATCAATAAAATATATATTTTTATAAATAAATAAATAAATAAAAGATCTGACCTGCTAGGTAGAAGTGGAAGCTATCAGCCTCCTGCCCTGTGCTGTCTCCTTAAAGTCTGCCTTCCCCTAAGGCAGCCATGAGCGCTCAGCTCTAGGGCAGGTGGGGTTGGTGTTGACAGGGTCTGCTGGCCAGAGCTAGAGCTGGGTTCCTGGCCGTGAGAAGCTGCTTCCTGGCTCCTGCCTGCAGGAGGGGCTCAGCTGCCCTAAACCTCCATGCCATCCTGTCTGCGCTGGGAGTGTGGCACCATTGCCCTGTTCCCACCACTCTTGCACGTGTTATCTGTCCATGCTGAGTGCCAGGGAGAGAGAGGAAGCTGAGTGACCACTGTGGGTTGAAGAAGATGAGAGCCATCAGAGAAGGACAGACGGGGGTGGTCAGGGAATGCTTCCTGGAGGAGGCAGGCAGAAGCTTACAGTGTCAGCCACACATTGTGGGGTAGAGAGGCACAGGAACAGTGTTCTGAAGAGACAAGCTGGACTGCGCGAAGATCTGCAGGAAAAAGAGGGCATGGGTGCCAAAACCGGTTTGGCTCAGTGGATAGAGCGTCGGCCTGCGGACTGAAGGGTCCTGGGTTCGATTCCAGTGAAGGGCATGTGCCTTGGTTGTGGGCGCAACCCCAGTGGGGGGGGGGCGTGCAGGAAGCGGCTGATCAATGTTTCTAACTATCTCTCCCTTCCTCTCTGTGAAAAATTAATAAAATATATTTTTTTAAAAAGAATTATTTGGGGGAATTACAAAGAATTTGGCAAGGCTGCAATGTAATGATTTATAGTATGGAGCATGGGACATGAGCAAGACCAAATGATGGAGGCAGTGCTGTATAGCAAGAGATTTGGAGTCAGTATGACTTCACCATTCCCAGTACCAACCAGCTGACCACTGAGGGCTTACTGGTGGGGGACTTTTAAGCAGAAAAGGTGACTTTGGTCAGGTCTGTTTTGAGGTCAGGACATGGGGGCTTTGGGGATGGTCTAGGATGGAGATGTGTTCTTTCCCCCCAACACGTTTTGAATGAATCCTGGGTGCTTCGCACTGTGACAGGGTTCTGGGCCTGGGTAGTATTTTGAGTGAGTCTTGACCTGTAGCTATTCTGACACTACCCAGATCAATACCTGAGAGTGGGAGGGGCTCTGGACATGGGAGGGATGGTCCTTCCCAAGGACCACAGGGGTAATGAGAGCAGAGACCTGGTCAGGTGGGCTATTGGGAATCACATGAGTAACGGCCCAGCCTTGTGCATTTTCAAATCAGTAGATACTTGTTGAACATCAACTGTGTCCCCAGCCCTGGGAATCCTACAATAAAAGGCTAATATGCAAATCTACCGAATTGCAGAACCACCGGTTACTATGATGCTCACTGACCACCAGGGGCAGACGCTCAACACAGGAACTTCCCCCTGGTGGTCAGTGCGCTCCCACGGGGAGTGCCGCTCAGCCAGAAGCCAGGCTCGTGGCTGGCGAGTGCAGTGGCGGGAGCCTCCCACTTTCGCAGCAGCGCTAAGGATGTCTGTCTGCTGGCTTAGGCCTGCTCCCAGTGCGGAGTGGGCCTAAGCCAGCAGTCAGACATCCCCCAAGGTCTCCCAGACTGCAAGAGGGCGCAGGCCAGGCTGAGGGACATCCCCCCTGAGTGCACGAATTTTGTGCACCGGGCCTCTGGTAAAAGTATAAACAGATATGGAATCTGCCTGCTCAGAGCTTACAGGGAGGAAAACAAGAGCTTTTTACCTTGAGCAAAGTGCCAAACCTTCTTAACCAAGCTGACCCTGGGGTTATGATGTGCAGGCCCTCCCTCACCTCCCCAAAGCTGGCATTGAGAGAAGCTGTCTCAGACGGGGACCCTTGCTCCCTCCCAGCTCTGGGTACAGAGCCCTGGGTGGACCGCTGCAGAGTGGCCCGCTGCTGCTGGCTGGCCAGGACCTGGCTGGGGGAGATGGTTGGTGTGTCTCAGGCTGAGGGGATGTTCAGGCCCTGATAGGGAGCGAAGATTGGACAGGTTGACGTATAGAACTGCAGAGTTTGATGGGAGCTGGGGAGTCTGTCCCTGGAGTTTGTCCTGGTTCTGCTGCTCATTTGCTGTTGTGACCTTGGGCAAGCCCCTTCCGCTTTCTGAGCCTCGGGTGTCCCCCTTTAAAGTGGGCGGGGTTGGGCTAGAAACAGGGTGGCATGTAGGTTTTGTCTCACAGGCCAAACTGATTGGTTGCTCTTGGCTTTTTAAGCAGCTCTCTGGGCTTGGCAGGAAAGCATGCCCATCCGGGATTGAAGGTCGATGCAGGCATTCTGCAGGGCGTGATCCTCAAGCTCCATCCTGCGCTGATTGCTTTGGTCTTTCTGCTTCCATCTATCTCCTGTGTCACCCCTCCACCAGCCTGTGGTCCCCTTCTGCTTAAAGCCTTCGTGATGGGGAGCTCACTATCTCCCCTCAGACAGAATTGTTAGGTTGTTATGCCCGGTCTTGTGCCTGCCTCCCTGAACTTGTGCCCGGATGATGGACGGCTTGGGTTCAGGCCTAGGGAATGCCTTTGTACGTGGAGCCTCAGCGATGGATATATAATTTCTGCCTTCTGGAGGCATCCAGAGCCACTGCTTTCTGTATTGTGACAGTGAAAGAGATAGCATCTGTATATCCTTTGAAAAAAAAAAAGCACTTTAAAAACATCCACTTAGCATAGACAGCCACCCTGTGAACCCTGCGTTATTATCAGGGTTTTTACAGTGAGGGCGTTGAGAGTAGAGAGTTAACAGAACGGCCCCTGAGATCAAGCCTGTACCCCTCTGGCCAGCTTCCTTTCTCCTCCCCAGCCCTGTCCCAACCTTCTGTCCCGTTCTCTCGCCCTCCTCAGGTTTCCACGTGATCCCCACCATCTCGAGCATCGTCCCAGAGAGCTGCCTGCTGATCGTGGTGGGGCTGCTGGTCGGCGGCCTGATCAAGGGCGTGGGCGAGACGCCCCCCATCCTGCAGTCGAACATCTTCTTCCTCTTCCTGCTGCCGCCCATCATCCTGGACGCAGGCTACTTCCTGCCGCTGCGGCAGTTCACGGAGAACCTGGGCACCATCCTGATCTTCGCCGTGGTGGGCACGCTGTGGAACGCCTTCTTCCTGGGCGGCCTCATGTACGCCGTGTGCCGCGTGGGCGGCGAGCAGATCAACAACATCGGCCTCCTGGAGAACCTGCTCTTCGGCAGCATCATCTCGGCCGTGGACCCCGTGGCCGTGCTGGCTGTCTTCGAGGAGATCCACATCAACGAGCTGCTCCACATCCTGGTCTTCGGGGAGTCCCTGCTCAACGACGCCGTCACCGTGGTGAGGGGTTGGGGAGCGCAGCCACGCACACACAGGGCACAGGCCCCAGTCCAAGTCCAGAGGGACCCACGTCCGCCTGCTCATCCTCGTAACAAAACAGCCAGTGTCCACTCCTGCTTACTGTGGGCAGGCATCACGCTGAGCGTGAGACCTGGGTGATTTTACGTAATCCTCGTGGCACCCTTAGGAGGTGCTTAATAGTCTCGCTTTATAGAGGAGGAATCAGGCCCAAAGAAGGTCAATAACTTGCTAGAATGGGAGAGAACCAAGGGTAGAAGCCAAGTCCATCTGACTCCGGGCCTGAGCTCTTGGCCTGACCAGGTCATATGCTCCTTCCCTGACTTGGAGTGTGATATGATCCTGATTGAATTGCTTGCCCTCTGCCTGCCTCCGTTTAACCTTTACGGACCAGTTGGAGGGGGTGTTTCCGCTTTCACGTTGGTTATGCCTTGTTAAGAGTTTCAATGTGCAGAGTTCTGGGGCAGCACCTGAGGAAAGGGGCCTGGCTCCCAGAACCCCCAAAAGTGATTAAGTAAAACGGGTTGGCCGCTTGCTCACTGTGTGACTATCCCTCTCTGGGCATCACCTTGGCATCTGCAATGTGGCAGAGGAGTCAGTGCTTCCCTCCCCGGGTCTGGTGAGAATGGACAGCCCCAGCACAGGGTCTGCATGCAGCAGCTCTAGATGCTTGCACGTACCTTCCTCTCCGCCGGTTCCTCAGGAAACGGATACGTGTGTGCGCAACTCACACTGTGTTGTGAAAACATCCCCCTCCCCGAGGGGCCCCTCAGCAGCTGCACACACAGGAAGACACAAGGGCACGTGTGTGCCCCTGCATGCTCGTACATGCACCCCCTCTTCTCCACCCCCAGCCCCTCAGGAAGCTGCATCTCGAAGAAGAGGCAGACAGGGATGGTTGGCTGCTGACAGCCTTGGCTTCCTCTCCTTCCCCGTCCCCTCCTCGGCTCCTCGTGAGGCTGGCAGACAGCGGCCTGGCTGAGCAGGCAGGACCATGGTCCTGGCCCCTTTAGCACCCCCTCTCGCCGGAGTCACCACATGAGCCTGTTCTCCATCTGTAACGAGTTACAGGGTTCTTGCAGGAATCACACTCACGAATGTCTAAAACCACTGGGTGCCAAAGGTGAAGTCCCCCCATTGGATCTGGGTGTTGGGTTGGCACTACCCGGGAGCAGTGGGCGTGGTTGTGTCAGGTAGACACTCAGTCTGGCCACCTTGGGCCCATGCCACAGCTCACCACAGCAGTGGCCGTGGTGGTAGTAACTGAGCACTTCCTGTCTGAATATGCATTGCCTCATCTAATCTGCACAGAAACATGAGTGGGTGCTGTTATTATGCCCATTAATAAATATAAACATATATAATTATTTTTCAGAGAGGAAGGGAGAGAGAGAGAATCACTGATAGGCTGCCTCCTGCAGGCCCCACATGGGATCAAGCTCACAACCCGGCAAGTGCCCTGACTGGGAATTGAACCTTCACCTCCTAGTGCATAGGTCAATGCTCAATCGCTGAGCCACACCGGCTGGGCTCTGCCCATTTTTTAGTGAGGAAACTCAGGCACTGAGAGGTCACCTAACTCATCCAAGGTCACATTCCCTGATAACTGATGTGGCCGAGGTTCAAATCTACACAGAGTCCAGAGTCCAGATGCTTACCACTATGCTAACCGCCTCCCTAGTCCCAGGGACGGCAATACCAGGCCGGAAAGACAGGCCTTGTAACTCCCTACCCACCCCTTGTAACTCCCTCCCTACCCACTCCCTCCCTACCGGCCCAGGCAGTGTGCCCTGAGGACCACGCCATCTCCTGGCTGGGGGTGAGTGCAGGTAGCCCAGGGCTGAGAACGCACCTGCGTCTGCTGCTGACCGGCCTTGACTCCCGGCTCGCGCCCTTTCTGGAGCTCTGGTGCCTCGATTCCCAGACAGAAACCTGAAGGCTGTCTCTGAGCTGCGCTGTCTCTGAGCAGCTCCGCCTCAGAGCAAGTCCACCCCCCGCCCCCCGCCTCCAGGGGCTGCCCAGGTACTAGGAGCTCTGGAGGGCCCCTCTCAGGGATCCTCAGCAGCCCCCTTGTCTGGAAACTTCCCAGCTAGTCTCCTGACACCTGCCAGGAGCCAGCATCTGAGAGAGGGCAGAGCCTCAAAGACGAGCCTGCCAGGGAACAAGTTCTGGGCCCAGGTCTGCGGCCCACGGGCTCGGGGCTCTCTGGCAAGTTGTCTCGCCGCTCTGAGCCTCCGTGAGCGAGGCAGGCACCCGGGGCCCACCCACCTCATGGGGCTGTTGTGCATCAAGCAGGGCGACCACCGTCCGAGGGCCCTACAGTGTCTGAGGTGCCACTGAGACATCTGGCCAAAGTGTTACAGTGACTTT